GAGGAGGAGGAGGAGGCAGGCTGAGGCTGAGGCTGTGACTGCGATTGCCGTTGCCGCTGCGACTGTCATCGCGAATGCGACTACGACTGCGAGAACAGCAGAATTCGACAACTGGATTTTCATCTGAATCTTAAGGGGAATGCTTTCAGATATGCTTCTACACATCGCTGTTAGGTTGCTTTGCCGGGATAATTTAATGTCTTGCAGTCGTCTGGTGGTTGAAAAGCGACTGTCATCGCGAATGCGACTACGACTGCGAGAACAGCAGAATTCGACAACTGGATTTTCATCTGAATCTTAAGGGGAATGCTTTCAGATATGCTTCTACACATCGCTGTTAGGTTGCTTTGCCGGGATAATTTAATGTCTTGCAGTCGTCTGGTGGTTGAAAAGGGCGCCGTGGAACAAACCTGGAGAGTGGTGTTCGGAAATTGCGCACTGTTCGGGTGGTGTTGCTCTGGGGAAATTGCAGAGGCCACGTGACCAATGAGCATTCTCACACGGCCCAGCGTGCCGAGGGCACGGTGCCGGATCTGGAGATATTGCCGCAGACGACTGAATAGAAAGATGCAGTGAGGCGCTGCGTGGCAGATGCCAGAAAACAGAACTGGCCCCGAATTCAGGCTTGTGCTGCCGACGACGGCCTCGGCGATGCAGCTGCGTTGGCTGCCACATGGGCGAGTTGATCGCATTTCATCTCTGACGTACTGCTGTTCTGACTGCTATTTTTATCGAAGACGCCTACGGCGAATCACCGCCGCCCCCTGCCTTTCTGGAAGCGCCTATGTGGCCGAACGTTGAGGCCCGACCTGCCAAGCGATCGGACCATGTGTTCCCCGAGTCGGTTTGGAAAGCCTTCGGGTAACGTGGGCATCTTGAAGGTCATCTTGGCAGTCTGGAGGCCATTTTGACCCTTTCGGGCCTTTTTGGAGGACGTCTTGGAGGGCTCTTGGGCCGTCTTGGAGGCCATCTTGGGGCCGTGTCTTGGGCCTCTTGGGCGATGTTTGGGGGCACTTGGGCCGTCTCGGGCCGTCGGAATGCAGAAAAAAACCAAATGCCACAATTCTTCAAAAACCAATGGGAAATCAATGATTTTGGCCTTTTCGGGCCTTCCTGGAGACCTCTTGGAGGCCTCTTGGGCCGTCTTGGGCCATCTTAGGGCCATGTTCGGCCGTCTTGGTGGGCTCCTGGTCCGTCTGACGCCGTCGGAAGTCGTTTTGGGGGCCTCTATGGGCCGACTTGGGGCCCTCTTGGAATGCTCCAGGGCCGTCTTGGAGGCCATCTTGGGCGTATTAAAGGCCTTCTGTGCCGTCTTGGGGGCCTCTTGGGGCCGTCTTGGGGCCTTCTTGGGCCGTTCTGGGGCCATCTTGGAGGCCTCTTGGGCGATCTCTGGGGGCTCTTGGGCCGTCTCGGGCCGTCGGAAGGCCGAAAAGAAGCACATGTCAAAATCCGTCAAGTTCTTTCGGAACATCCAGGTTTTTGGCCTCTTCTGGCCTTCCTGGAGGCCCTCTTGGGGGCCTCGTGGGCCAGCTTCGAGCCAACTTCGGCCATCTTGGTGGTTTCCTGGCACGTCTGACGCCGTCGGAAGCCGTCTTGGGGGCCTTTCTGGGCAGACTTGGGGCCCTCCTGGGGCGCTTCGGGGCCGTCTTGGAGGCCATCGTGGGCGTCTTGGAGGCCTCGTGGGCCGTCTTCGGGCCCTCTTGGGGCCGTCGTGGGAGCCTCTTGGGCCGTCATGGGGCCATCTTGGAGCTCTCTTGGGCGATCTTGGGGGCCTCTTGGGCGGTCTTGGGCCGTCAGAAAGCCGAAAAGGCGCAAATTCTAAAATCCGGCCTTCCTGGAGGACCTCTTGGACGCCTCTTGGGCCGTCTTGGAGGCCTCTTGCGGGCCTTTTGGGCCGTCTTAGAGCATCTTGGGGCCATTTTGGGCCGTCTTGGATGCATCTTGGGGCCATCTTAGCCGTCTTGGAGGCCATCTTGGCTGTCTTGGAGGCATCTTGGAGGCCATCCTGGGCCATTTTGGCCGTCTTGGGACGATGTTGGGCCATCTTGGGGCGGAACAGGCATTTACTTGTGCAGTTTCCGGGTGGCCGGCGGGACGGGCTGAAGCCCCAGGGGGAGTTCTTTTGGAAAAAGAACCCAAACCGAAAGCCATCTAGTTTGGCACGCCAGGCACCCTTTTGCTAAAGCAAAAGAGGGCGGCGGATCGAATGGCCTTCGGCCGACCCCGCCACCGTGCCTGGGTTGTGGGTATGCAGCCTATTGGATGTTCGTTGGGATCTCGTGGGGGCCTTGTCGGGGGCCTCTTGGAGCCAGTTTGGACGCCTGTTGGGGGCCGTTTGGGGGCCTCTTGGGGCCTCTTTTGGGTCTCTTGGGGGCCTCTTGGGGCCTCTTGGGGGCCTCTTGGGGCCTCCTGGGCGCCTCTTGGGGCCTCCTGGGGGTTTCTTGGGGCGGAAGGCTCGGATTGTCGGTTCGTGCTCCCTCTTTTGGAACCATTTTGGGCCCGTTTTGGGGCTTTCTTGGGCTGTTTGGGCGCCTCGTGGGCTGACTTGGGGCCCCGTTGGGCCGTTTGGGGCCCCTGTTAGAGGCCTCTTGGGCCGTCTTGGGGCGGTCTTGGGGAGCGCCGGGAAGCCGAAACTGCGAGAACGCCACAATCCTTCAAACACCAACGGAAAATCCTTGATTTTGGCCCCTTGGGACCCTCTTGGGAGGCCTCTTCTCTTGGAGGCCTCTTTGGGCGTCTTGGAGGCCTCTTGGGCTGTCTGGGGGCTATCTTGAGCGTCTTGGAGCGATTGTTCGGCGACTCGAGGTCGTCTTGGGCCGTCTTGAGGGTCTCTTGGGGCTCTCCTGGCCCGTCTCGGAGCGCCCTTGGGGCCGAACAAGTCACGAGACAAGATGCGCCAAGGCCCCAGGGAACCGCGCCAAGCCCGGGGAGATTTGTGAATCTGGGCTCCGTGCCTCTTAAAGACCCCAGGAGTGAGGACTGAGTCGTAGAGGATTGGGTCCAGGACCTGAGCACACGCCCACTCCGTGCCCAGCGGCACGGTGGCGGATTCTTAGTGTTGTTGAGCACTCAGCGTTCGGCTGCGCTGTTTGTTTGATAGCCGCAGGTCAATTTGGCAACCGCATTTGTACAGAACGTCGCTTGCCGCATGACTGGAGCGGCGCCACGCGTGCATGTCAGGCAGAGATGGGATTGAGCGATTACGCACGAGGAATGTCGCGGTATTTCGAAGGATCCTGCGGTCGTGCTTTCCCCTCGTCCCTCCGCCTCCTCCTACTCTTTCTCTTCCACATGCTTCGAGGTGGGCAGTCTCTCAGCCTAGTTCCCCAGCCTCTCTCAGTGCTTGCCCGTGTCACCGGTATGGAGTGATAAGGTCCCCTTCCCTGCAGCCTCAGTGCTTTTAAACTTCGGAGAAGGGTAGGGGCAATACATGGAACATACCCACATACTCCTTGTCTGGATCTTGTGGTAAAGTCCGAGCTTGGTGTCGCTCTTTCCATGCGTCCCACCTTCGCCCTGTCCAGGGTGTTCCAGACAAGAGATCATGACGGTTACGGTCACTGACCGCATTAAGGCAAGACGCGTTAGGATTGTGCGAGCGTGCATGTGCGTGTGCCGTCTTCGGCGCCCGACACACGGTGTCCGCGCTTAGGTGCAGTGTGCATGCGCGCGAGCACGTTCGTGAGTGCGTCGTCCAGTGGGTTTAGCCAGGCGCTTCTTGCTCTTGGACGGCTCTTATGTTGACTCACCCAGATGACATAAGTAACGTCAGGCAATTGCTTAATCGATCTGGCTGGTCCGTGCAGATGCTCTGGGCTTGCCTTTGAAGTGCCAGCTGGACGTGGTACCCAGCCAAGGGCAGGTTGAATCTGTCTTTCTGCGCCTGCCGGGTCAGTTCTCGGCGTCGTGCTTGCTGAAGCGGCGTGGCTTTTTCGGTGTCGCTCTATGCGCAAGGACCTCGTACTCAGTCAAGGGTTCGGAGCTGTTCAGCTTTGCTTCCTCAGTCTTACAGAGTGCTGATCTCCGACTACATTGGCCGACTGAATTCTGACAGCGCAGCAGGCTAAAGCACCAGCCGACCAACCAACCAACTAACCAGCAGCGCACGTGCGCGCAGCCGACGCGAAGGCGACGCCAACTGGGCACAAACGCGACCCTCACGGACACCAATTGACACCAATGCGCCGCAGACTTCCTCGAACGATGGTCCCATCAACGGACAACGAGATGATCTCGACTCGCTTCGGCCATCGATCCGCTTCGCCTGCTCGGCCTCGCTCGCCCTCCCAGCCTGGGCTCAGCCTGAGCGACGCCCAGGGCTCTCTTTCCTCAGCGCAGGGCCAGCCCACGCTTCAGAAGCTCTGGCTCCGACCGTGGTCCCAGCTCAGCTGGATGTGGGGTCGGGCCCGGACCTCTGTCGGTCCCAGACCTCTGTCGGTTTGTCCCTCGCAACTTGTCTCCCCCGTCGTCCCCTGGACCCCGCTTCCAGTGGCCGTTCGTTTTCTTTCGGGGCATTTTTTGTTGATGGCTCTGGCGCCCGAAGGGGCAGGCCCCAGAGGCTGAGAGACTGGAGTATAACCTGTCCTTACCTGTCCGTCTGGAGTCTTCTGCGACGCCTCGAGGCCTGGGGTCGTGGCATCCCCTTGAGAAACGTCGGAGGGCCGTCATCGTGGTCGTCGTGATCGTCGTGATCGTCGTCGTCATCGTCGTCGTCGTCGTCGTCGTCGTCGTCGTCGTCGTGGTCGTCCTCGTCGTGGTCGTCGTCGTCGTGGTCGTCGTGGTCGTCGCCGTGGTCGTCGTCGTGGTCGCCGTCGTCGTCGTCGTTGCCACCGCAGCAATTCTGCAACGAGCCTCCGACGAGGACACCTCGGAGGCCTTCCTCTCAGCCGCGCCCCCGCGCTCACGGCCGGACCCGCGGCCCGGGCGCCCACTATGCCCCCGCGCGCCCCATAGTCGTCGTCGTCGTCGTCGTCGTCGTCGTCGTCGTCGTCGTCGTCGTCGCTGCCGTCGTCGTCGTCGTCGTCGTCGTCGTCGTCGTCGTCGTCGTCGTCGTCGTCGTCGTCGTCGTTCTCGTCGTGGTCGTGGTCGTCGTCGTTGTCGTGGTCGTCGTCGCCCAGCCTTCGCCCAGTCGTCGCCCAGTCGTCGTCATCGTCGTCGTCGTCGTCGTCGTGGTCGTCGTCGTCGTCGTGGTCGTCGTCATCGTCGTCGTCGTCGTTCTCGTCGTCGTCGTCGTCGTCGTTGTCGTGGTCGTCGTCGCCCAGCCTCCGCCCAGTCGTCGCCCAGTCGTCGTCATCGTCGTCGTCGTCGTCATCGTCGTCGTCGTCGTCGTCGTCGTCGTCGTCGTGGTCGTCGTCGTCGTCGTCGTCGTCGTCGTCGCCGCCGACGCCGCCGCCGCCGCCGCCGCCGCCGCCCATATCCCCCAACTGGGCGGAGGAGGCCGTCAGGGCGGCCATCGAGGCGCTGGCCACCTTCAGGCCGGGCCGCCGCCGCCGCCGGGCTCCCCAGGCCTCGGGGCGTCTCGCGGTCAGAGCAGCAGATCGTTTTTCTGTGGAATCTGGT